AAACAGACAATTACATGTTGCAGGAGTATGCCACAATAACCACGACATTCCATTGAGGCGCTGGCGGAAGAATCAGTTCAGACTGTTTCACGGAGCTTCCCGAAGGAATCATAGTTTGGGAAATTTGAATAGTTAGTCCCTTGATCTTTGAACCAGAATCTAAATCTCATTCTGAAACTATTGCAGCTTTAACATTGTAATTTTTTTAATTACGTATCACCAAATAAAAACGCTTGTTAAACTATTAGTACTTTTACCTAATTATTTAATTAACACGATCTTGCAAAATGTTTAAATTTTATTGATTTACTCACTCGTGCGCATTCAAGGAAACTAAACGCGCTATGTATGGCATACACGTTGTATTGTATAATTGAACAAGTCATATAGTACTGATGAATGTAATTAGTTGTTGTTTGGGAATGCAATTCTGTCACTTCAAACACTTCAATACTGAACACAATCGTTCTCAGTAATGAATTGTTCTTTTGAACAAGAACTTGGTGATGCGTTTGTAAATGACACGGGAACGAAAATCTTCAGATTCAATAAATGCAACTCCATATTTTATGAGCTTCAAGTGTCGCAAAGGACGTTTAGCAACTTGAAAAGAAATGCAATGTTCTTTTTTTTATGGAAAAAAATAAACTTTTATTTATTACGTTTAGAAAACATTCGGTCAGATGTGTATGATCCTGTTAAAAGTGTCTATAAAACTAGCAAAAAAGAGTTCGTTATCCAATTTTGGTCATACGCGCGTGTATTGGCATACCCAGTCATATTTTTTCGGAAATGTTCTGGCAAATATTCAAAGACATTTAGTACTATGTAGAGCACATGGCTTGCTAACACGATGCAAATGCTAGCCCAACGACACATGGCATTTCCATATGATGCAAATACTAGCCCAAGGACACATTGCTTGTCAACACGATGCACATGCCAGCCCAAGGACACATAGCTTGTCCATATGATGCAAATACTAGCCCAAGGACGCATGGCTTGTAAACACGATGCACATACTAGCCCAAGGACACATGGCTTGTCCATATGATGCAAATGCTAGCCCAAGGACACATGGCTTGTCCATATGATGCAAATACTAGCCCAAGGACACATGGCTTGTCCATATGATGCACATGCTAGCCCAAGGACGCATGGCTTGTCCATTTGATGCAAATACTAGCCCAAGGACGCATGGCTTGTCCATATGATGCAAATACTAGCCCAAGGACACATGGCTTGTCCATATGATGCAAATACTAGCCCAAGGACACATGGCTTGTCAACATGACGCACATACTAGCCCTTGGAATCTTGGCTTGTCAACATGATGTACATACTAGCCCTCGAACACATGGCTTGTCCATATGATACAAATACTAGCCGAAGCTAAGCCTTGGAATTTAGCTCATGATATTGACTTTCTCGTTCAGATTCTGTTGTTCACATGGGAGGGGTATTACTGGATGTGATGCTATTAACATTGTGTAGATTGTTGGTGCTACCGGTATGACAGGAAACATTTTCAGTGATCCATTGATAAAAAATAATGAAGCACCATCTAGTGATCACACCAGTTGAGTCAAGGGTTAAAATAGACGGATGCACCCAGAACTATATTTAATCTAATAAATGATGCATTCGATGCTATGCTGGTAGGAGGGGTATTATGGGGTTTACTTGTTTTTCAGGTTTGGTGGTGGCAGTAGCAGTTCAGTTGGTAAAGGATACAATGATACTGTAGGGTTTTACTTCAAACCAAACAGGACACATTAATTGCAGTTTACTTTACTTGTAATTCCGAAACATGAATCACTCAAAGAATGATCAGTGAGTATGGTTTTACGCCGCTTTTACCAATATTCCTGCAATATCAAGGCGAGGGACTTCACAAATGGGCTTCACACATTGCACCCATGTGGGGCATCGAGCCCGCTCTTCAGAGCGACGAGCGAACGCTTTAACCATTTGGCGACCCCACTGCCCCAGATTCACTCAAAGGCAACTCAGGCAAATCTAGAATTCTTGAATTCTGTGATGGCACTGGAGCCTATATTGCTACTGATTCGGTTTGAACTCAAATACTTTACATGCCGTCAAGCAGCATACAAGGATAAATGTATTGCTCATCCCCCTCCTGTTACCTGGAAGTACACAATAGAATGATCGAATGGATCTGACCTAAACAACATAAAAGTACACAAATATTGATTAACATACAAAAACAGAAACACGCCGTTTTACAGGTACATAAATATTAAAGCATGTTGCCACAGTCAATAATTCAGCACCTCAACAACTTGAAAGTCATGCATTTTTATATGACCTTGGCTCGTTCAATTCCTGTTTTGACATGGAACCTTCACTATTTTATGATAATGGCTATTTATAAACACATATTTATGGAAATGCTTTTGACGTTTTAATTAAACACTACCCGTTTTCATTTTATTTAGTTTTCAGCGATCTTTATGAAAGGCTGAATTCCACAATCTGTTCTCCGAATGAATAATGTGACTCGTTTTGACGATGTATATAATTATGTACTTATTAGATGTAGAATATCTTGTTACAAAATCTCGCATTACAGTTTTCTGAAAAATATCTGAATTTTCTTATCTGGACCATTTCAATGGGCACAGATTCGTCCTATTTAAGGAGGGTCCGCCGAATTAAGGGCATTGTACATATTCTTCAGTATATCTGGTCATCGTGATGCCTATTAATTTTGGTTAATGACATACATTGTTAATATGTTAAAACTGTACACGGCGTGATGTCGGTCTGTCGACAGATCCAAAGCATCTGTGTTATTGATTGTGTCCCAACGTTTAATTCAAGGACTCTCGCATCCTTTTAGATGTATTTTTTAACGCAGATGAAGATGGAGACATTGCTCTTGAGGTACTTGAAACGAATGGTTTCTTCATGTTCAAGGAATATCGTGACAGCCTTTTCTGTCACGTAAATTGAGCATGTTCGAGGAGCCTTTTAAAAGTAATAAAATAAAAAAATGGAGTTTGAGCGAAATCCATATTTTCAGTGAAAAACAACAGACTCGGCGATGTTTTGTCCCCATTGAATTCAATCATGCCGTTTCCTTTTCCCTGGCGTGCGAGCGCCTTGAGTTAAAAAGCAGGAAAACACACTTCACACATAGATGTTGAGCGTTAAGTTGCTGATTGAGCTGAGAGAGCTGATTCTACTCGGGCTTTGCAGTGTGGTCGCCACTTTCGTCTCTAACATTTATGAATTTCGTCTGTTTTTTTGTTGTTGTTTTTTGTGGTTTTTTTGTGTTTTTTCCTTTAGGAATGACTCGGATCGACAATGTACTGCCTAATTCGCTAGAAATTCACTAATTCCAGTAAATGTTTAGAGACACAAGAGATTAATAATGCTTGAATATAGTAGTCGAAACGGTACAACGTGCTCTACTTTAAGCCAAGATGTGTTATGATTGTGAACATGTTGTTATAGGTATTTTTCTTCTTTTGATTAACGCCAGACTCGATAATTTACAGCTGGAACATTGCTGAGTGCGGCGTAAAAGAGCAAGCCAACCAGCCAATCATTAGAGTCTAATTCATGTTTTCTTAACTTCAATGATAACAGTAAAGAAATCAATCCCGTAATTACACGATCGTCTTCATCAAAAGAGTGAGTGGGTTTAGTTTTACGCCGCACTCAAGCAATATTCCAGCTACGTGGTGGCGGTAAATCACCAGACAATCCAGTGATCAGCATCATGAGCATCGATCTACGCAGTTGGTATACAATGACATGTGTCAACCAAATCAGCGAGCGTGACCCTCCGATCCCGTTAGTCGCCTCTTACGACAGGCATGGGTTACTGAAGACAAATTCTAACCCGGATCTTCACGGGGAAGAATCATATGAACCGAAACACGTGCACAAGAAATGACGACTTAAAACCAGTGCAGCAAACATGTGTACAAAACCACAATCATTCAAAGTCATGGGCTTAATACCGTCGTTGTGGTGTGATTGTGTTATCCAAATATCCAGTGGTACAAGTGAGTGAGCCGGATTATACGCCGCTTTTAGCAATATTCGAGCAATATCAAGGCGGTGGACACCTGACATGGGCTGCACAGTGTACATGCATGGGCAATCGAGTTCGGTTCTTCGGCGTGACGAGCGAACGCTTTAACCACTAGACTACTCCACCGCCCCCATAAACACAGTAAACAGTGATCTGAAATTGGATTTAACATTAGGTTGAATACAATTACCCCACCGCCCCTACAGAGACAAGAGATCGTGTCAATGCTATATATCACCCAAACTCTGTAACTCAGGCTCGGTACCTAGGTTTATGACGTGTCATTCTACATTGACATTGTCCATAATATCAACCACTGCCTTGACTGATACCCAACTCGTTAATATACAGCCCTTTCGTAGTGTCTGCTCAGAAAAACAATGACATATGAGTGACTGACTGACTGAGTTTGGTTTTACGCCGCTTTTAGCAATATTCCAGCTACATCACGGCGGGGGAACACCAGAAATGGGCTTCACACATTGTACCCATGTGGGGATTCGAACCCGGGTCTTCGGCGTGACGAGCCAACGCTTTAACCACTAGGCTACCCCACCGCCCCAAATGACATATGAACCAGAACATATTCGCTGTTATCCTTTTCCCCATTCAGCCAAGTTCACGGCTTGTTGTTCCCGTGGAGATTTTTTAGATTATAAATTGACCTGCCTTTGCATGTGTTTGTGACATGTGACACAGGTGGGGCGTTATACGTTCACGTTTACGAACGCCTCTTATCGTCACAGTTGGATAGAGATCCATAAATATATGTTCATGGGATAATCGATAACCGTTCAATGGACTGTTTCAAGCAGATATATATCTTTGATATATCATGATAGAAAGTGTATTCACTTTCATTGTTAACGCATAAGATTAATGAGGCCAATTTGTTTTGTACCACGGCACATCTAATTATGTATATCTATTGCAGGTATGCCAGGACGATGATTTGACGGCTCAGCAGTTCCAAACTCAGGTGAGCTTTTCGTACAGGGACTCCAGAAACCATGTTGGGAATTGAACCCGGGTCTTCGGCGTGACGAGGGAAAGAGTTAACCAATAGGGTACCCCACCGTCCCATTTGCTAATGAGACCAACCTACTTAAAAATGAAATTAGGGGTGGGGGTGGGGGGTTGGTGTAGATTACTTTTGTACGATTTGTTTTGGCCCAGTCCGTGTCAAAATTAGTTGAAGCGAAATTTCCGGAGCACTGTATCAACTCAGATTCCTCGAAATATTCTGTGTTCACTCTTAGGCACGACTGATCTGGAAGTTGATTTTTTAAAATAGTTCGACCAACTGCATTAAACATTAGGCTTAATGCTTTTTAAACCAACGACAGCTTCACAAACTCAACAAGTTACAGGAAAACAGCCCTGAATGATGGTATTAACTTTCTGGTTTAACGAGTCCTTGGCGTTGTGTAATGTGCTCTGCTATGGGCATTGGAGTGAGTTAGTGAGTGCAAGAGTGAGTGATACCATACGCAATAACCAATATTCCAGTTCCAGCAATAATACTTCGATCGAAACCCGAAAAATATATTTCCACACTGTACCCTTCGAACCAGGGTGTTAGGCGTGACGAGCGACCGATTTAACAAGGCTTCCCAACCGCCATAGCTATCAGGAATAGTGTATGGATGTAATTGATGGCAACGAAAGTTTGAATGTTCAAACATTGCACTTCTTAACAGTGTGCGAAATAGTGTCTATATTTTGCTTGCCAGTCCGGCTAACTACGCCTGAAAGTTAGTAGCCCACAAAATAATTCACTAGCCCAAAATTTGAATGTAGAAACTAAGCAAAAGATTACAAAAATAGATGAGAATAAGATATTGTCAGCATAACACAGGTTTCATCATTAATCTGCTAATATGATGAACGTTTCAATCATGCCACAATATTGCATAATTTAAAAGTGAATTATAACTAATAAAGTCGGAGAGAGTGATATATTTAACCCCATGAAAAGCCAGTCGGGCCAGTGTCTGTGGAGATTTGCTGTCCCGACTGGATTTTTACTAGTCACGGGCTTGCGGACCAGTGGCTATTTCGGACACTGCTTCTTAACCAAATGTTAGGATTTTGCTTGTTACATGCTCTTGTTTTCCTAGTCATTGTTGAAATCAGTGTAATATTAATGCGACACAAAACAACATGCCCTCACTCACTGGGTATGGGCTGCCTCAGTAATCGACCGGCCTGACGTTGATTCACTGGAGACGGTTCTGTAGACTTTCTGGAAAGGAAACAGACAAGATTATTCGGAAACACCACGGTACATTGTATAAATTTCTATTACTGGGTCAACGTGTATGGAGGCAAGGAAAAGCGAGACTTCGATATGTCATGATAAGACATCAATATGATCCCTAGGGAGATGAGAATGTAATTTGAAAAGTTACTGATCCGATCCTTTGGCAATGGCATGTGCATTATTGTGGCGTGATGTCTTGACATCAAAATGACCTGTTACATAAACTGACTCATACAATCCAAAGTGAAAATCATACAAACAATTTGTTTATTAGGTATATATTGCATTAGCGCTTGAGTGAGTGTGTATGGTTTTACGCCGTTTTTAGCAATATTCCAGCAATATCACGGCGGGGGACACCAGCAATGGGCTTCACAGATTGTACCTATGCGTTGAATCGAACCCGGGTCTTCAGCTTGACGAGCGAACGCTTTTACCACTAGGCTACCCCACCACCCCATTAGCGCTGGAAATCACAGTGCTAGGGAGCCGTGGGAATTAAAGCTCACAGCAACTCATACTTGTCGTAAAATGTGAGTTGCCGTGAACTCAATGCTTTCAATATACTGTGTTCAAATACCTTTATTGATAACTGAAATCTAAAGATAAGCTACGACGACGTGAGGTATATTACATCTGGGAGCAATAGGCCGCCGCCTGGTTATGTCTGAAATATTCAATCATCCTCCGTCTACCTCTGACGGAGAGCTTTTCTTATTGGTCATATGTGGTTGGTTGAATTACAAATAAACTGAACCAATACACTTTACACAACAGTGCAGCTCGAGATTTACATGCAGTTGGTTGGTTGGATGGCGTTTAACGCCACACTCAGCAATATTCCAGCTATATTGCGGCGGTCTGTAAATAATCGAGTCTGGACCAGACAATCCTGTAATCAAAGGCATGAGCATCGATCTACGCAACTGGGATACGATGACATGTGTCAACGAAGTCAGCAAGCCTGACAACCCGATCCCGTTAGTCGCCTCTTACGACAAGCATGGGTTGCTGAAGATCAATTCTAACCCGGATCTTCATGGATCAGGTATAAGTGGAAAGTGAAAGTTTGTGCTAACTGGACATTGTACACACATACGCTTTTCGTGGAATTCGAGTATTTGGCTGTAGTCTTAAAAACAGATTTGAGGGCTCTGAAAGTGCCCAATCGGGATTAACATTTGCGAGACCATCATTTGAACGCACCTCGAATGTTCATCTTATCCAGATTCGCCAAAATATTACCGGAAAATAGGCTCATATTTTACTGTCACAAGTTTGCAGGAAAACTCGATACGTAATAGGAAATTGTTTTAACTTTATTTAGCAAATTACACACGCTGAGAAGCATGTATGTCCTCACATCTAACAGTTAACGTTTATCCTTGAAGGTGATAGGGTTGTTTTGCGTTACAAATATATTATCTAATCTATCTGTATGATAGATCTGAACTTTGCTATATATATATCAAGGCTGAATGGTGAAATGTATTCTCTGGTAACGTGACTGTGATTGCAACATTCTGACAGATCATGTTTCTAACCATCCATTATCCATAATCATCCCCATTAGCTTCACTGAATACATGTATATTCATTTGACGACTCGTTTTGACAACATGAGTGCCTGGAAGATGACTTTCTTCCTCGCGAGTGATGCACGAAAGTTACTCCTCTGACATGAAACAAATGACGACACAAGATTGCCCTGTTTAGTAACTTTTGAAAGTTGTTTGGAAACCTTGTCAGCATATCTACAGTGGTCTTTCGTCTACAATGTAGCTTATTTGCTCCAGAATTATTTGAATGACATCAAAATACCAGATACCCGTGAAGGTCCGGGTTAGAATTGATCTCCAGTAACCCATGTTTGTCGTAAGAGGCGACTAACGGGATCAGGGTGCCGTTGTACAAAACCTTAGCGCTAAGGTTACCTTAAGTCTATGTTAAGGTATGGGAGTTACGGTCACCTTAGCGCTAAGATTGCTTTGTACAACGGCACCCTGGTGGTCAGGACCGCTGACTTGGTTGACACATGTGATCGGTTCCCAATTGCGCAGATAGATGCTCAAATTGAGCTTTTATTCAATTATTCGCAAGCCTTTAAACAACGTTTGTGAAAAAAAAATCATAATTGAAATACAAACGAGGGAAAGGGTTTCTACGATCGTAAGATCTTGCTAAAAGCGGAAACCCTCATAAGAGCGCATGTTATTATTATTGTTATTACTATTCTGTCTGTATCCTGAGCATGCGGTTAAGAATCCCTGTCGAATAGTGATTACACCATGTGTTCGCGAAATGGTGAGCGTATCCTGCCCTAAATGAGGGACCCGTTACAGTAGAGTAAGTCTAGTACTAGGAATGGGTTGTGGGGCAATATGAAGGAAACACCTTCGTCTGTCACACTTATTTGCATCTACAAAGTCCTATCTCAGCCTTAATTCATTTTCCCGACCAATGAGTGGCAGGTACAAGACAGCTTTAATGTTATCAAAAACAAAGCAAACAATTATGAGAGTCTATGATAAGATTTCTGTTTTATCAATCACAAAAGACAAGAGGTATCCAAGCGGTAAGCTATTCCATCCCCCACCTCTTGTGGATTCCGCAACAGAATGGGCCATCAAACTCACCGTGGTTGTCGTCCGAAGTTACAGGAACTGAATGGGTCGTTGCTCTTGCTATCAACAACTCTTTTAACTGACCTTGTCCAAGGAAAGTCTGGTTTGCTACGACTGAAATACTGTCGAAATGTAACACACTCATTCACTCACTCACTCACTCACACTTCTTGTGCACTGAAAATATTGGTTCAAATGTTACGCGGAACATTTCATGCTTTGACTCACGGGAAACATATCTCTTCTCGGACTTCAGGATTAAGAGAAACTAAATGGCAGATCTCCACTTAGGAGCATTAAAACTGTAATCTCCAACTAAATCCTACCTTCTTCCGAGGACTGTCATTCAACTTGCCACAAGATTTGGGGAAAAACACAGTTGGTTGTACTGTTGCATAACTAACTAAAACAGCTTACAAGGGTTTGCTGTTCCTGGTTCTGAATCAGCCTTTGAACTCTTTTGGATGGAAGGTAACGGAATGAATCTGGCATCAGACATTCAGGTTGACCGATTGCATTTCAACACGAGAAAATCGATACCATTTTACTAAAATTACATTTTTTAATCCATTTCTTTGCAGATTTTCTCAACAGAACGTCAATCGCAAATGCACATGGTGATTGATCGAATAGGTTTTATGGAATTTGCCAGCTATTACATTTGACCTCCTTATGATTTTGGGTCCTTATGATGGTGAATTTCCTCAAACGGACGTAAAGTATCAATACGTCGCGGCTAGGATCACGTTCAATAGACGTTGTCGCCTTGCTGAAGAGCGACTTTTGTGGCTTTACGTTGCACATGTCCATAAGTAACTAATTTATTTCAACAATGCATCAAATAATCTGTGTAAATGTGTGATTTGTCCATGAGTCAGTACTCTGCGGAAATAAATGTTGAATAAAATAATAATCATGATTTTGCCAAAAAGAACGAAACCCTGACAATCCGGAAACAATTCTCAGGAGCATTTACCTTTCTCCAAATGTACAATTCGCCATTACAATGATTTTAAGTCAGGATCTGACATAAGTGACTATTTCACCAGGGCCTAACCGCCCTGATTATATGAAAAAGGTGACAATAGAAAA